GCACTGCAACATTACAAGAAAAAAAACTGGAGATTTTTCTTTTTTCTGTGGTGTTGGGAATCGAACCCAAGGCCTTGTGCATGCAAGGTAAGCACTCTACAACTGAGCTACATCCTCAGCTCTGGTAAATTTTTAAGACTGTAACAGGTCAACACCTGATTTTTTAAAATAACAGACTGTCCTCATTACACACAGAAAAAATTTTCTTTCACTGTAACTTTCTGACTCATACTGAATTTAGCATGTTCCAAAGTTGAACTATTTAGCATACGGCTTGCTACAGCTGCACTTTTATTCCATCATGTCAATCAGAAATCTAAATATAACCTAGAAAAGAATAAACTCTTCCCAAGAAGACAGACTGTAATGTTATTAGATTTTTAAACAGATCCCCACTTTTGTGCTGTAAACAAATATAGGCAGATCCTGTTGAAATCTTATGCAATTTTCATTAAAAAGGGAATGTTGATACAAAGTTCTTTATTAAAAAAAATATATATATATATCTTGTGGATGAACACAATACTTTTACTTTATTTATTTATTTTTATGTGGTGCTGAGAATCAAACCCAGTGCCTCACATGTGCTAGGCAAGTGCTCTACCACTGAACTACAACCCCAGCCCAAAAGTTCTTTTTTGAGTTGTAAAAGGAACTTATAGCTATTTGTGTTGGATAATCTTGTGAAAGATTTATGACAGCAATCACACATACTATGTTAAAAATTAAAACACAAGTAGAAAAACCGACAACTCGGTTTTCACTTGCTACTCAGCACACTAAACAAGTATAGGGTAAAAATCACTGTAAGACTCAAATATGCTTCTTCCTAGGGGTTTTTCCTCCTATGTACAAAATGGCAGAAACTATGTGTATCTCCCTGCCCCTTGCTGGGTATCCAACCCAGGTACTGGGTCTGGAACATGATAGGCAGGTGCTCTACCACTGAACTACATCGCCAGCCCAGTAGGGAATATTTTAAAGCTACCTCCAGGACCCTAATAAAGGATAAAAAATGAAACACTTAATCTTTTGTCAATATTGACAGTAAAATAGTAGACACAGTCAATATGAGCAGCTGTGTTCTCCATTTGACAATAACAGGAAAGTAAAACCATTAAAAAAATGACCTGCATACTAATATGGTTAAAATTGAACATGATTTTCTTCTGACTTCAAAAGCAAACAAGAAATTGTTAGAATTTTAATTAGGTTATTACAAAAAAAGTTATCACCTCGAATCCAACTTTTTCATAAGGGTATGAAAAGTCACAGAAAGTGTATTCCAAAACATTGCAACTGGTATCTTCCCTCCCAGAAACCATCAGAATACAGTCTCCCAAATCCCTATTATTGGACTATTCTTTCCAAGATACAGGAGAAGAAATGCCAAAACTTTCAGAAGTGCTTTTCAATAAAAGCTTGAGAGAGTAAAAAAAAAAAAAAAGAATCTACCTCCAAATAGGAATGGCAGCAATGATAGGGAAATGTTCCACTAAAAAAGAAAAAAAGCATCTTTTAAATAATCTTTCAATCTAAGCTTTAAAAACTTATCTCTAAAGAACAAAGCCAGCAACATAAAACCAAAAAGAAAAAGAAAAAAAAATGAAGGAAAAGGAGAACAGCCTTTTTCTTACAGAATAGGAGTGCTTTGGTAACTTGTAGATGAATGTGCCACCATCAAGTCATATTTAAAGCAGAAAATATACTTCCTTTATTCAACACCAATAAACTTTACAACACCGAACACACTCATATTGAGTTTTTAAAATTTATGTGTTCAAAAAAATGAATCTTTTCCTCTAAATCGTGAAAAGGCTAGGTGGGGAAGAAATGCTACGACTTTACTCTTGCCTGAAGTTCTTCTGTCTAAAGGAAGAACTCCTGGGTTCTTTCTCAGTTATCATTATCCAAGTTCAACTGCAGGCAAGCAATTCTTGTTGCTTTGAGACCTAAATTATACTGATACCTCTTGTTTGGAGGATAAATGTTGACCTTAATATTTGCATTCCCTCCTGTATTCACTGGATAAAAATTACCCCCCAAATGCTACAAAGGTATTTTCTTAAGGCATCAGCTGCCTCCTTGCTTGTGTGGCTTTTTCTTTAACACCTACTTACCAGGAAGAGGAATGAAGGCTTTTTGAAACGAACTAGCAAACTGTCCCCCTGGACGCTCATTTAAACCAAATTCCACACAAAGACTTACCTTGTATGACATGCTCTGGTGAGATGGTCTTCTTTTCCGATTTGTTGCAAATTTCATTGGCTTCAGAAGATATAAGGTGAATGAATTCGGTGCAGCAGTTCACCACCAGCTCTCGGGCATCGTTGGCCACCCGGACATTGGGGAGAGTCTCTTTGATCATCTTATTGATAGCAGCTCTGGGGATAGTGAGATCATCATCGTTGCCAGACGAGGAAGCCATCGTACCTTCCTGT